CGACGATGAAGACGCAGAGAGTGGCTCCGATAGCGACAGCTCCGTGGAAATTGAAGAAGACGATGACGAATCTAAGGACTCTAGTGAAGTTGAGGAAGAAACACGATGGCAATCTAATGGGGAAGAAGGGGAAGAGGAAGAGGAGGAACACGTAAATCCGAATCGCTGCATGTATGTTTCCCTTCTTTTCCTCCTCATACAGTCTTCAATATACTCATACCTTCTTAGATTCTGCGAGCAAGATGAGGATGATGATCCGAGTGAAGAGTTCGAGCTTTATTTGGCATGTGAGATGTGTGGAGACAATGGTAAGTTGACCCAGTATTTATAATCGGTAAGGCTGACAAAGCTGTAGCGCATCGGCAATGCGCCCGAAATTCGAATGCACTTAAGTCTGACGAAGGTATGTACTATTCCGCGATACAGAGTTGGATAATGCAGCTAAAATAAAATTCCAGAGGCGGAAAAATGGTATTGTCCGGGATGTCACGAAAACAGTCTCGTGCCTGGAAGTCCAAGTGCAGATATCGATATGCTTGAAGGCCCAGAGGAAGAAGATGTGGAGGAAGGCGACGAAGAGGTAGATGGTGAAGATGCGTCAATCAAAGAGAGTGAAAGGAGAATTTCAAGGGATAGAGTTCCAGGGGATTTACTACCGCCAAAACGTGGAACAATCAAATCAGATTCACACTCCGTCTTCGAACAACTTATACCACCAGAAGATCCCATGGATGGCTCACGTTTGTTGCGCAAGAGGAAAACTTCATCCGTGGAGGCTGATGAGGGACTGGTTTTGAGAAAAAGGACCCGTGATCGAGATGCACTTTCCGATAATTCTAAACCATCATTTGACGAGCCACATGATGAAGCCAAAGTCGACAACGATAGCAGCTTATCATTGTCTAACGGCAAAAGGAATAAGAAGAGGGTGGACACACCTACAAGCCCACGTGTTTCAAGATCTTTACGTCAAAAGACTTCTTCATCCTCAGGCCCGCCAGTCAATATTGTCGAGAAAACGCCTGGTACTCTCAAAATCTCCTTTCGCGTTGATCCTATGGAGTTAAGGCATATCCTCTCATTACCCCCTAAACCAAAAAAGAAACGCGGCGGTCGTGGCGTCTCAAAGGCTCGATCCGCAGCGATTTCTACCGCCCTCGTTCCCTCGAGTTACTCACAACCTTTTTACCCCTCCATTCACGAGAAAGAATTGGAAGAGCTGAAATCCAAACCTTACGGTGGTATTCTTTCCGAAGCTGATGCTGATACATCTTTGACACTACCTAGAGCCGAGCATAGGCGTCAATTTGAAGATGCTCGTCAAAAGGCTGAAGAGGATTGGAAAGCAAGGGCAGCGGCAGCCGCAGAAGCTGCTGCTAAGGCAGGATTGAGAAAGGCACGCAAGGTCTCAGGTCCAGCCAGCCAAATTGAATATATTGATTTTGGGGCATTTCAGATCGATATTTGGTATGCCGCTCCATATCCAGAAGAATATAGCCGGAACAAAGCACTTTTCATATGTGAGTTCTGTTTGAAGTACATGGAGTCCGACATTGTTGCTTGGAGGCATAAGACGAAATGTCCATGGAAGCACCCTCCTGGCGACGAAATTTACCGAGATGGGAAGATCATGATTTTTGAAGTGGATGGCCGCAAGAACCCACTGTACTGCCAAAATCTTTGTCTCCTCGCAAAACTCTTTCTCGGGTCGAAAACTCTTTACTATGATGTCGAGCCTTTCCTTTTCTATGTCATGACGGAATATGACGAATTGGGCTGTCATTTCGTTGGCTACTTTTCGAAGGAGAAGCGACCTAGCAGCCTCAACAATGTCTCATGTATCCTCGTACTGCCTATTCATCAACGGAAGGGATATGGTCATTTGCTCATCGACTTTTCGTATCTTCTCACTCGTGTCGAGAAGAAGACTGGCTCTCCTGAGAAACCACTTTCGGACATGGGTCTAGTCTCTTACCGTAACTACTGGCGACTCGTTCTATGTTATTACTTACAAAGATTTCAGCCCTCTGAACGTATTCCAAGTATCAAGGCCATTTCTGACGAAATGGGTTTAACGCCAGACGATGTTATTTCGGGTCTTGATGCCATGGGCACCCTCGTCCGCGATCCCACAACTGGCACTTATGCTATGAAGTTGAAGCCGGATTACTACAAAGACGTCATTCGCCATCATGAAGCAAAAGGATACGCTAAACTCAATCCTAAGGCGTTGGTTTGGACGCCTTTCGTCATGGGTAGAGGTAATGCTTCTGCTTATGATCATGCTCCGCCACTTAACACTGTTGCACCACGCGAGGAGGACGAAGACGAAGTGCCCAGTGTCGAAGGCATATCCAATGAAAGTGTCCAAGGCACATCCTTGAACGGTCTTACGAATGGTGATACAGAAGAAATGACAGCATCATTAGGCAAAATGAACACCGGGGCTAGTGACATCATTAGAGTTGCAGGCTCAGAAGGCAGTGTTGGAAAGTCAGCGATGACGCAAAAGCTCAATGGTATAACCAAAAAGTCATACTATGATCTTGCCTCCTCGATCCCTGCTATACGATTTGTAGTATTTCCTCCCTTGCCTGGTGCTCGAACTCGAACTATCTCACGCCCAACCTTAGCGCGACCACCTTCACGTCCAAGACTATCAACCTCTTCATCTGCTCGACCCAAATCTCGAAGGGCGGTGGGGGTGCCTATCCGACGTGCATCCACTACATCTGCATCTGCATCAAAGGCGCGGACTGCAGCGCGTAGAAAGAGCGGAGGTACAGGGCGTGGGCCTGGTAGATGGCCAAAAGGAACTAAGAAGAGCGATTTTGGGAATGCGGAGAGTGGTCCTGGTTTGCCGCCTAGATTACTGAAACAGCGCAGTAAGCTGGGAAACGAGGTATTGCTTGGCGACGAAGAGGAAGAGAATGAAGAGACAAGAAGTGACCTCGATGAGTCGGCGATCTACGATACTCCCGCACCGAGATCGAGACGAGAAAGAGATTCGTCACGCAAGGGTGTCGGACTAGGCAAGCCTATTCTTCTGGGTAAAGGCAAAGGGGCGGGAATAGGGAAAGTCAAAAGCCCTCTTGTTGATGCGGAAGGCGATCAAGAAATGGTTGATGTACCAGTTGACGGAAGTGTAGTTGATCGTAACGCGGATGTAGATCAGGATGCTAATATAGACCCAAATCTTGAAGCGAACACGATTCTGGGCGCAGGAGAGGATGTGGATGCAGAGGGTGAAGATGAATAGAAAGCGGTCTGTATGCTATCTTCATGGGGTGTGAATTTGTGCGTTACGATATTTGGAATGGTGAGCAAGGATACCTAGGCTACGAATGGCGTTTGGACGGGGTATTCATGAGCTTTGGCATTTCGGCATTGGCAAAATATCCTATTGCTTCAGGCACGTATTGGCGTCAACATGAGAGATGGGGCTTTTGGCAAAATTCCTTAAACTGTAATCATTTATGTACTACTATTATGGTTGCTTTCGATATCTTAGAAAGATATCACACAACGAACTCATCCTCGTGTAATATTATTTCCCATGTAATAACTGCGTAATGGCAACCTCAACTAAATCTTGGGCTTTAGACAGCTCTTTCCTATTCCTATTGGATTGTTTCAGTTGCCCAAATCTCGATTTCATATACTCGGGTTGATTTGATCACTCTACTCAGCTCATACACTTAAGACATTTCGTACTTTGAGATTGACTTACATTTCTAGGACAAGAATTCATGAAGTAACTGCATCTAATAGTCATCCAATCTAGAGGGATTTTTTCTTTCCTCCAAATTTTTTAAGACGATATATTCTCTTAGTCGAGATTCATGTGGGCACACCGCCTGGCCTCATCTTGGAACTAGGCTAGATCAATCGAAACATTCTAAAGATCGAAATTCGAAACCCGATCTGACATCTTGCATAACCATATTTCGGGACTTCACAGTATCGCAAAACGTTCTCGATGAATTGCGTTTACGGTCCTCTGTCTTTTCCGGTCAATCAATTCGCTAAGAGCAGCGCCTTGACACGGAGGTTTGGCTGAGTGATGCATCTAGGAAGTGAGTTCCGCGCAGACCATACCCCATGAATATAAATACTAGGGGTTTCTACCTTGCAGATACTTGGTATGTCACTCCGAGTACAAGTATTTGACCAACGGAGTTGTCCAGCATCTGGAAAATGCTTACTATCGGCAGTTCTGCGTGGATCCATCCATCAAAAGTTTAAAAGGGGGGTTATCATTGAATATTGTTGTGCTCACAACATGCACGGTGAATTTGCTGCAGAAATGCAGGTTCTTCTGTTTGACAAAAAAAACTCCATCAAAGTTTGATTATTCTGGTCGAAGTCGAGCTATAATCTGAGCAATTACATATCATGGACCTTTAAAATCCCTATTGTCTTGAATTTTATTGCGGAGAGAGAATCTTCTAATTATTTTTGAGCTTCGATGTGGATGAGGAAAATCATGCCGACTGGAGAAAACGTAAGCTAGTGCTAATACGCGGAAATGGTGTGGGTTTGAAATCCATGCGTGCGGCGAAGGATAGGTATCATTTCACTATTGAAGCATTGGTCCGGTCTAGTTGGTTCGGATTGTTGGAACGTTGTTGGAACAGTTAGAATGATTTCCTTGAGAATGCACTAATTAGGTATTGACACAACTGTCGGTTAAGAACCCTGCTGGACAGGCTTGAGCTTCTCATTGGGCTAATAGCGAGTTATTTTTGTTTCTCGAAGATCCATTCTAGAAGTGCTTATGTTGGAATAATTATGGCACATGCACAGTCTTGGTTAGCTGTGCCACTGGCCTGCAGAGAGTGGAATATGTCGCATATAGCACTGGTAATCACTCTAGGTGATACTTGAGAAGTGTTCGGCAAATAGTGTGAGGTTGTTCAATGGCAAAATATTTTCACGGAATAGAACGAAAATCAGAAGGAACGATTGTAAATTCTCGGGGGCTATCATCTGCATACAAATTAAAGTATTAATCCAACCTGGGCGCCGTTCTTGCTCACGGTTGTTACTCTCCAACGATCCACAAATTCCATCACCGGATCACGATTTTGGATACCCTTGAACTTTTGCAAGATCCTGATGGTAGTTATCGCGATCTGTGTAACGCCAAGATCACTAGCCGGACACATTCGTGGTCCAGCCCCAAAGGATAAATTTATCCAACGATCAGGTTTGAAATCGCCTTCCCATCGCTCAGGACGCCATATTTCAGCATCTTCCCCCCAAAGATCCTTTCTTCGAGCCATTGACGCGAACCAAATTACAACTTTTACGCCTTTTTTGACAAAAATTGGAGAGGTTGCATTTGGCCCTCCACCTGTCGGAAGAACTGTGTCACGAAGCGCAATACGCTCATTAGCACTCACACCGGGATATAGTCTCATTGTTTCGTTGATGACACAGTTGAGATAACTTAAACTCTTCACAAGTTTAGGAGTGAGCTCTGCAGGTCCGATAGCTGATACCTCCTCTTGCAACTTCGTCCACGCCTGAGAGTTTCGTGCTAGATTAAAGAACATGTTCGTAAGGGGCGTCGCGATGGCATCGTGAACCGGAAGGAATAAGCCCAAAAGTTCGTCTCTAATCTTCACTCGATCTTGACCTAGATTTGCTAGTCCGTATGCCACTGAGTATTTTTGTTCCTCGCTGGTCGACACGACTTTATCCATTACTTTGTCGAGTATTTTATCAACAAAGTCTTGCGCATCCTTGCATGAAGACCAGAACTTAGGATCCCGAGATAGAAAATCCCAGAATGGCAACACCATTCTCATACCGACACCTTGTAAAGAGTAGTTGTAAGCGTCTAGAAATCTCATGGCATCTGCTGGAGTCTCTGGCAATAGGGTTAATGTCGATTCCCCAAATAAGATCTCAGAGGAGCTGTCAAGTGCTAGGCGGTCAAACAGCGGTTGTAGATCAACAGTGGAGCCATCTTCAGGAATCAAGGCCAGAAGCCGTGCAACGTGTTGCTCAAACATGTGTTGATGATGTGTGGCTCTTGCAAAGATCGGAGTGAGCACAGAACGATGAGCCTTCCACACTGCACCGTCGGTGGACATTAAGCCGTCGCCTGCCAAAGGTTTCAGCCCAAAAGACCTCATGGGACCGACGCCAAATGATTCAAAATCTGTTCCATATATAGCTTTAACATGTTCCGGTGCTTCAGTAACAATTTCGGAAACACCATACGGAAATGATTGAAACGTATGGCCATATTTTGAAAAGAGACCTCTGGCGATTGTATCACGAGATTGATTTTCATAAGTTTCTGTGAAGCGGCCATAGATTATATCAAGACCAAAGAATGGGTCTTTCTGAGGAATTGATCGCGGTGGCTGACATCCCTTTCGCAATCGATTGGTGCTTAGGTGACACCTTAAAGTACGAATTGCAAGTAGAAAAACTGTGCAGAGTAACAACAATGACGGATAACTCATATCGAATTTAGTGTAAAGTGCCATATTTAAAATCTCGGTGTCGAAATCAAGGGAGAAAAAGTGACGCTAGAATTGAGTGAAAAACTTCAAAGACTCTGACAGATTGAAGTAGAATTTGGGGGGATCGTAAAGTATCCCAACTTTGAGCAATCTCTAGGTTTATTGTGGATAGCATGGCTTTGCAAGCACCAAACTGTTACCAAAAAGCGAACTCATAACTACCTGGTAGCTATAATGCCAAAACAGCAACAAGCAGCCAACAACTACCAGGGGTTTGCAGAAACCTACGACCACTAATTTCACAGGGGTCGCGCAAGCGAATGTACGTACATATTAAATTACTGGAAGGGTCAAACAATTCTGAACTTCTAATTTTGTAATGATCAATCAAACCGTTGTGATTTGACACTGTACCAATTATTCTACTGGTACATTCGAAAGCGATTAAATTCTATTGAGAGTTCCAAGTGTTGTAGGCGTTTACCTAGTATCTTCCGGGCTTGAACACGAAACAAATGCAACAATAAGTTCAAGAACCAGCTAATTGTCTTTCATCTCCAAAGTGAACTTATTCTTTGTAGCGAAGCACTTTCATATGAATTTGATAATATTACTTTTTTTCTCTGAATCTCAAAAGACACCATGGCATCTTCACCAGTACTTTTAGCTGAGGATAGCTCGGCCAGAACATCGGAGAGCCCACAGCTCGTTGAAGGTTCTGCTCCTGAAGCCGAAAAAGTATCCGAGGAGATATCTTCTGCCAATGCCAATGCCACGACCGAAAGAGATAGAGATGCTGTAGCGGGAAACTCTACTCGAACAATCAATGGACTTTCCTGGAGTCTAGTGGTTGCTTGTATTTCATCATCAACCTTTTTGTTCGCCATAGACAACGCTATCGTCGCCGATATCCAGACGGCAATTGTCGAGGAATTCGATGAAGTAGGAAAGCTAACGTGGGTTTCGGTGGCTTTCATGCTGGGGGCGGCTGGAATAAACCTGATGTGGTCAGTAATCGAGATTATTTACACACTTCCTCATACTGACAGGTAGTGGTACATAGGGGAAAGGCATATGGTACATTTGACGCGAAGTATGTCTATATATTCACAACCTTGATTTTTGAGGTCGGCTCCGCAATATGTGGTGGTGCTCCCAACATGAACGCTCTTATTGTTGGCCGAGCTATATGCGGACTGGGAGGGATAGGAATGTATATCGGCGTCATGACTGTAATGTCGGAAAATGCATCAAAGACCGAGCGGCCAGTATATCTCGGGCTGATAGGTGTAAGTCGACTCCACTAAATTTCGATTTCCAATATACTAATCCGGAATCATCGTAGATACTTTGGGGTATTGGCACAGTGTGAGACTCAAACTCATTCAATCTCTCACATGAAGCTAACATATCCACAGGGTCGGCCCTTTCATAGGAGGGGCTTTCGCCGATAGCAGCGCCACATGGCGATGGGGATTCTATATCAACCTTTGTATTGGAGGAATCTTCGCGCCTGTATACGTATTTCTCATCCCGAACTCCAAACCCCGATCTACTTTGGGTCTTCTTGGTCGATGGATACAAATTGACTGGCTTGGTGCCTTACTTCTCTTGGGTGCCATTGCATGCTTGCTAATGGCCATTGCCTTCGGCGGACTACTATTTCCATGGAATTCTGGATCTATCATCGGTCTTTTCGTTACCGGTGGTATTCTGTTCATTGCATTGGCCATTCAGCAGTCATATGCGCTAGGAACAACCGAGGAACACAGATTGATTCCGATAGAATACCTTCAGTCAAAAGAGATAGTCATCCTCTTCATTGAGACAGCCTGCGCCGGAGCTGCAGTGTTCCTCCCAATATATTTCATCCCCATTTTCTTCGAAATCATCCACGGCGAGTCTGCATTAGGCTCAGGTCTCAAGCTCCTCCCATTCATTTTGGTCATGGTTACTATGACTTTTGTCAATGGTTTCACCCTATCAAAATGGGGCTACTATATGCCTTGGTATTTTGTATGTTCTGCTCTCCAAGTCATTGGTTCTGCGCTTCTCTTTACCATTGAAAGGGAAACTGCGGTCAGCGCCATCTATGGATATACTGTACTCATGGCATTTGTCGGCGGTTGGAGTCAGGCATCATTTACAGTTGCTCAATTCCTTGTCGCTCCCAAAGACATTCCGATTGTGACTGGTTTCTTGACGTGTGCCCAATCAGGTGGAGCAGCGCTATCACTAGCAATTGGCGACACTGTCTTCCTGAATACTGCACAGAGTGGTATCATGACTCTGCTTCCAAATCGAAGCTCGTCTGAAATTCAAGGACTTATCTCCGGTTTGGGAAATTCATTCTTCGAAACTTTAGATGAAGAAATACAAAACGCTATTCTGGACATCATTATGAGCAGCTTCAAGAAGCTTTTTGTCCTTCCCATTGCAGCTGGAGCTGTCGCGCTCGCCTTTTCAGTCTTCCTGAAAAGGCAGAAAATTGACGTCTCTTGAAAAGCTGAGGAGTACTTCCAGCGAACTACCTAGCATACTTGTTGCGGTCCGTCAATCGTACCAATGGCCAAATATGAAAAAAAAAATCGAACGTGTCAAAGAGTCAAGACTAGACACTTTTCTTTTAAGAAGCTTCAGGAATTCCTTTTCAATCTTTCTAATTTTAATTGATACAATTTGTGAAAATGGAAATTCTTAGATGAGTGTTTTGGGGATTTCTCTATTGGTACACATTAACAGTTTTATTTCGAGCCAGAGTTTATTCCTGATCTTGATTCGTATGGTCATAAATAATCGAATTTTTAGGTGTCATGTTTCGAAATCAAACATTTAAGTGAATATAAGAAGAGGGCAGACATAGGAAAAGAGAAGAGACGAAAACGAATAGTTACTAGAAATAAAGACAAAAAGGTTAATATCTCGACAACGATATCTGATATTTCAAACCTCAGATAGTATATATCAGATATATCAAGGTATTCATTGATACTGTAGACAAATTGTTGAACTAAGTACTAATCGCGAATTCTTGAAGCCATCTAGTCCTTATCTGGCGCTACTTCCAAATATGTGTATACACAAAGAGGGTAGCCATTATATTAGTCGATCGTTCCAAGCACCACTTAGTGTTTGGAGATCAATTTCCTATGCTTGCTATAATTTATATATTCAATGACTACTATTGTGACTTAATACTCCTTGGCAGTTACTTATTATCTTACTCCATGCTCGGAAGCTTCCAGTCTTAAAACGTACACTGCCCTTGCAAATCTTGATATCGAGAACTGTGCATTCTAGGATCAAGATTTAATCCTTCCTGTCATCATAAGGAAAGACTACTTTCCCTGTGTTTACCATGTCGGATCGCCATCTCGTGATGTAAGACCAACTGTTGGGAGTCGGAACCGGAGAGAAGAGCATCCGGTGCGGCACGAAAAGCATTACTATCTTCGTGATTGCCGCTCTAAGCTTATCAAATTCCGTCTCAACCCTCGTAGAAACTATAAAATCCACTTCACAGGTTGTTCCCCCGGGTTTGGAGAAGCACTCGTCCAAAACATTCTAGACCGAGGCGACAACGTCATTGCCACATTTCAAGGCTCGAAAGATCGCATTAAGTACTTGAAAGATGCCGGTGCAGCTACCTTGTCTCTGGATCTAACCGCTTCGCGATTTTGGTTTGATTGGGAAGAGTTCATCGTAAGCACGAACCTCGATCAACCTACAGCTACGATTGACTGGAGTGATAAGTATACCACGGTATTCATGACGTGGTAGCGAATTTGTATACTGCTCTGCGTTGTGAAAGAACTTGAAGCGAGACCTCACAACTGTTTCAACTCCGATCTGCAAGTCAAATACCCCTCCAACCTTTGCCACACTTCAATCCAATGACCCTTTAGACTCAAATATTTTTAGTCTTTCCATTCAGATTTGAGGACTAGCGGGTCTTCAGATGTGATCATTTCAAAAGACTTAAGTATAAATACTGCCGCAAGCTGATACTTTGTAATCTTCGCTCATCGGATAGCCGAGGACTCCAGCTAATTCCAACTCAATTGCTCCCTCTGAAGACATACTATTGAGTAACTGATCTTGATGGGATGATATGAATTCATGTAGTTCTGTGGCACCGGGAAAATATAGTAGAAGGGATAAAAAAAATAGTATCATGGCAATCAAAAAAGCGTTTTATTTGACCTCAATATCATAGCTATGAACGATAAACAATAATGGTATATGCCAAGACCCAAACCAGACTCCTCGCTAAATAGTAGAACAATAATTCAAAGACCAAGTAAAAAGAACTTATACTATGGGCTTGGGCCTCCATCAGGTAAAGCCGGCAAAGGTTTTTGCTCATTAACAGGCTCTTCTTGTGTAGGTGTTTGAAGGGATTGAGATTCCCTGATATCAGCAACACTTTGCCCTTCCAACGCATCGTGTTGAACACCCGAGTATGTGGAGTTCACCTCATCCATGGGATCGTGACTCTCAATATCACTAGGCGGGGGACTGGCCAGAGCAGTAGGATTTCTATCTCTGACACCCCTTTCTTTCGCGTCTGCAACTGACAGGAACGAGGCAGGCGAAGAATTGTGAGATCTAAGTGAAGGTCCGAATGATGAGGTGCGAAGAAGTTCATGTTCTTTAGATGCAGATAGCAAGGGGTTAGAATTCTGGTATTTCATAGTGATGCTTCTGCGAAGTCGAGAAAAGGTACCAGTTGTTGCTCCGGTTATGGTGCTGGGAGTTGCGTCGTCAAATGAACGTGGAGGAGTCAGCTCGTTATCAGAGCGGGAATATGTTGATATGGGTGTTGGAGGACCCCAACCTCTTGATCGGGAGCGCGAGTTGACAGATTCATCCGACGGCTGACGTCGATGGTGACCGGTCCACGCATTTACAGGGGAACTTGCATCACCGATGTAATCTTCGCGGTCCCGGGAGTTGTAACCCGGCATATCGATTGGACTTTCCATATTAGTGATGTTGCTGCTAATACGGGAACGCCGATTATG